CGATTTCCCTTCTCTTTTCTGTTGCATTCTCATAACTATTCTACATTTCTTGTCATCTTGCTTCAATCAAGTTCCCTTCCTTTTCTGTCAAGTCCTTTGAATTCCTCGCTCTTAGCCATACAGTCACAACAATGGAGAAAAGTATGGCACCCCAGGAGAACATTGGAAACACTGGAAGTGTAGTGGAGAAGTATGATATTGTAATCGTTGGTGCTGGGCCGGTAGGGCTACTGCTCTCAACCTGTCTGGCACGTTGGGGTTATAAGATCAAGCACATCGATAACAGATCGGAGCCAACCAAAACTGGAAGAGCAGATGGTATTCAGCCTCGGTCCTTGGATCTGTTAAGGAATATGGGTTTGAAGCCTGCCATCATGGCATACGAACCTGCGAAGGTCTACGAAGTCGCATTCTGGGATCCAACTTCGGGCGGAAAGGGCATACACAGAACCGGAACATGGGCGAGTTGTCCGAGCTTTATTGACGCCAGATACCCTTTCACAACATTGTTACATCAAGGAATGATTGAAAGGGTTTTCATTGCAGATCTAGAAAAGCACAATGTTCATATCCAGAGACCTTGGACCATAACCGGCTTCAAGACAGATGAGAAGGAAGATCCCGAATATCCAGTAGAGGTCAATTTAGCTCAAGTTGAAGGTAGCGTGAAAGAGACAGTTAGGGCTAAATATCTGTTTGGTGGCGAAGGAGCGAGATCATTTGTACGACAGCAATTGAACATTGGTATCAAACACAAGGATCCAATCGCACATGTATGGGGTGTTATGGATGGGGTTGTTCAAACGGACTTTCCTGATATCAAGGTAAGCAATCTTTTCCTACGCACATCATCTTAAGCTACCAATCACTGATAAATCGGTAGATGAAATGTACTATTCATTCAGATTTTGGATCTATCATGGTCATTCCTCGAGAAGATAACATGGTCCGTCTTTACATACAGATTGCATCTTCGACCGATAAGGACTGGAATCCTAGAAAAACGGCAACGGAAGAAGAAGTGCAGGCATCTGCAAAGAAGATACTACAACCGTACAACATTGAATGGGAGCGTGTGGAATGGTACTCTGTGTATCCCATTGGTCAAGGAATTGCGGACAAATATACTCTTGATCATAGAGTGTTCATGGGCGGTGATGCCTGCCATACACACAGTGTAAGTCGTGTTTAATACTCCCATCTCAACATCCGCTAACAAAAAGCAGCCAAAAGCTGGACAGGGAATGAATACAGCCTTCTTGGATGCCCAAAACCTTGCGTGGAAAATTCACCATGTCGAATCAGGATTCGCTGATCGATCTATTCTGCGTTCATACGAGGCCGAGAGAAAGAAGGTTGCTGAAAATCTATTGGACTTCGATGCAAAATATGCAGCTCTATTCTCACAAAAGGCGCCAGCTGTTAAGGATGTAGAGGCAGCTACACAACGAGGAGCAGAGCACACAAACGTCGAGGGAGAGGAAAACGAATTTATCAAAACATTCAAAGAGTCCTGTGAATTTACCAGTGGCTATGGAGTGGCATATAACCCAAATTCTCTGAACTGGTCATCATCTCATCCAGCACAATCCAGCGCCATAAATCCAAAGGGCAATAAGCTCCGAACGGGCCGTATCCTCACCAATTCCAATGTCACACGAGTCACGGATGCCAACGTTGTTCATCTCGAGCAAGAGATTCCCGTCAATGGTTCATTCCGAGTATACGTTTTTGCTGGAAAACCTGCATCTACCAAGCAAGCACTGGATGATTTTGCACAAAACCTTACCAAGAAGGGTTCATTCCTTTCCACATATCTACGATCAGATGTCGATAAGGTGTCCTATCACGAACGGCATAACCCTCACAGTCATTTCTTCACCTTCTGCACAATTTTTGCGGAGAAGAGGCAGAATATTGAGATTGCGCGAGACGTTCCAAAGATCTTGGCTAGATATAGCGATCACGTCTATGCAGATGACATCTGGGATCGTGTAGTGCCTGATGCGAAGGCTTCGAGTCATAGCAAGATGGGATTGGATGAAGAAAAAGGAGGTGTGGTTGTTGTTAGACCGGACGGATATGTAGGAATTGTTGTGGCTTTGGAAACAGGTAGCGTCACGGTGGACGCGCTGAATGAATATTTTGGAGCCTTCTGTTCGAAGAAGCTTGGGGAGTCGAGGCCATCTCTATAAATTCTATGGGGTCAAGACGTAGTATGCACTGTATGATTTGATACCAATGATGTATGGAATTGGACTGGATTGGAGTTTGGCAAGGGCGTGTATTGTTATACTTAGCAATTAGGTAGTTAATGAATATACCAACAGATAAATGAATCATGTCAAAACTACATACAAATTTATTGATTTAATATTGATCATTTTGATAATTGATAGATATATGTATATATATCTATGTGTATTTATAAAATGTACCTTAATACTTTGTTGTTGTTGTTTTCAAGAAGCACTTACGATTGTCTCGGCCTGAACCCAGCTATGACCAGCCCCTGCTTTTAATTCCGGCACCAACAACTTTCATCCAATCAAAAAGCTTTCTCCACCAGTCCTCTTCAAAACCTTAAATCATCTTTCACCAAAAGAAGTTCCATATCCCGTACATTCACTAGGTAGGGTAAGGTAAGGTACCTAGTAGTACTTATTTCTCCATTTCTTCTTTCATCATTGATTTGCCGCAAATCTCACAACCATCACTCTTCCAATAAACCACAACTACATGCAATCTTTCCCAAATTTCAGCCCACTTGAAGGAACAGCACATCAACTATCAACAATCAACATCAATCAGGAAATACTCCAAAGTCAGTTGGGATATTACTTTTACGTACTTCTCAATGTTGGGCGATCCCAGCAATAAAGGAATTTCGCGTTTCCGTCATGACCAGTCTTAAGCGCAAAGCTAGTCAAGAGTTAACTCACAATTCGATAGAAGTTATTGAGGTATGTCCAGACCCCCAAAGCCTTATTAGCTTAGGGTTTGCAAGGAGACAGGAGCTGATGTTCTGGTAAGCCGATTCACGGGGACGAAATGTTCGAGACTATATTGGGTTGGTTTTGGGGCGCCTTGGAATGGTTTCGTAGAAGGGTCGATCCATTATATACAGACATGAGCTACAGCAACATTGATGGTAAGTGGTACTACGGTATTCTTATTCCCTGCCGAATTTACTAAGAACTTCTATACAGTAGTCGCAGACGAACATATCCAGAGGGCAGAAGCGAGAGAAGATGGGTCAACCGCGGTCAAGCGGCAGAGAAATAAATCAAGAAGCGACGAGCACCGAAGAACCTCATCACATCAACCAAGGACAACATCAATAAATATGGACCAATCAAAGAGCTTGTCGGAAGAAGAGCTGAGGGCACAGACCGATGCACAATGGATCCCACCAGCTTTCGATGCTCCTACGAAACCCGTAGAACGAGAGGTTATAGTAATTTCGGATGATGATGATGAGGGGGAAAATGAAGAAGAAAGACCAAAGTCGATAGCAGATACGCTACGATCACCACGATCACCTAAAGCTCCCACCATACGCCTCCCACCGATGAGTGCCTTGAGGCGCTCATCCACGGCCACGGTCACTGATGAGAGATCTTTAAACGACCGTTTGGCCACTTTATTAACTTTTGGTGATGAACAAGACGATAAATATGGACCCTCGCCGTTAGCCATCTCGACACGAGCTCAAGAAAAACACAAGAAGGAACGTGAAGCGCAAGAGCTCAAGGAAAAGCAAGAAAAGATTCGAATTGCAAAGGAACGCAGACTGACACGACGAGATCCATCGAACCGGTTAGTACATGCGTTAGACGACAAATGGGAGGACATTGTTTGTGAAGCTCTGGATCGCGCTCGAAAAAATGGGAATTTGCCAATTACCCAATCGCAGGGTGGCACTCCGTTACATTACAAAGATTTTGGAACTCTATTGGGTAGAAATTCCTGGCTCAACGATGAGATTATCAACACTTATATTGAATGGGTGGTGGAAGCTGCAAACGAATTCGCGAAAGAAGAGGCAAAAAAATTTGGGGAACCTGCAGGGAAAGTGCCAAAATTTATAGCACATAACAGCTTCTTTTACGAGAACTTAGATAAGAAAGGCCCAAGCAGTACACAACGTCTGATGGGTAGGAAGAAAGCTCCCGGAGTCTCGTTGCTCCAGGTTGACACGGTGTTTGTTCCTATCTGCAGAGGTAGCCATTGGACTGTTGGAGTTGTACGACCCATGGCTAGAACTATTGAGTATTTCGATAGTTTGCAAGGGTCTCCAAAGACATTCATCAAACTGATGCGAGGGTGGTTGAAATTTCAACTCGGTGCAGATTACAAAGAAGATGAATGGAAGACCCCAAACACTGGATGTACTCGACAAATGAATGGTTATGATTGTGGAGTATTCGTTTGCACAAATGCTCTTTGCGTTGCTCTGGGCGTCAATACTGACTGTTATAATGGGACGGATATGACGACCATGAGAAGGAACATCGCTGCGCTCTTAATTAATAAAGGCTTTCAAGGAGATTTCGCTTGGGGCCGGGGAGTTTTTTAAATTTGCTTTGTGATTTCTGGGACAGGCGTTTTTTAGCAAGGACAAAGGAACGATACCCATTATGTGTTGTATAAAAAATGGCAGGTTGCCGGAAGGGTGTTAAAAGATGCATTTTGAAAGATGGAGTCTTGGTCAAGAAAGAGGAAAGGGAAGGGAAGGGGAAAGAAGAGCCGAGGCAATAACTCTCATTGGATGGATGATATGAGCTGGGGACGATGACTCCGTATGATTGACACGAACACATGCAGAAGATGGCATGGTCTATTCCATCTGATAGAACCTTGTACCTGCTTACTTGTGCTAGTAGGTTGAATCACACATACCTAGTAATAATGGGTTGGGAAATCCAAAATTATATCATAATTCGAAACTTAAATAATCACAAAGCACACTCATAATACCTACTCAACAATTTGAATCCCGTATATCAATATAACCCATGGCTCATGGCTCATGGCTATTATCATAATCATACCACAAACCAACATTTATGTATACAAGCCCCGATTAAAATGCTAACTCCCCCACAAACTGCAGTTCATCCTTCTAGAATCCCCACTAATCTCTTAATAAACCGAAACCCGCTGCTAACCTCGATCCTACAATCTGCAAGTCGTCACTTATTACTCACCTTGTTTGCGACATAAACCAATCTCTATCTTTGTGACTGTCAATCGAATCTACATAGAAGAAAGTTTCAACTCTTGTACACAGAGACGCGAAACAAGTATAAACTTGTTTTCATGCGCATGATAGAGGGCAAGCCTCTAAGATAAGATGGCGATGGCCAAGAAGGCACGGCAGAGAATAAGTTACGGTATGCCAACAGCCCCTGATTTCGTTGTGTGTGATGGTGTCGCATCGAGTCTCCGCATTGAATATGGGAAAGAACAAAAGATCGTTCAGAAGCTAATTAATTGTTCTGCGCGATTATAGTCTTACCACTTGCGAATTCTCCGGGCGGACATAGATTGGGTGTGAATGGTTTGGCCGTGGATAGTGAGCAGTCAATTTTGTGAGTCCTGTGGATTTTGTGTTGCGGTTTTACTTCTTTGGTCATATGTTAGTGGAGTTCTTTAAGAGAAGAGCTATGGTTAGAAATAGGCGCATGGATTAACAGGACAAAGATACTCAGGAGGCCGAGATGGTGCTATTTGCGCCTGGGATCTAAATTTGGATCTGCGACCAAAAGAACCCTCCACCAGTAATCCATTCGACGATCCGCCTTCTTCCGAATCTAAGCCAAAGTCTGCGACCACTTTCAGAGCGCAAACTCAAGCTCATACGCATTGGGTCAATGATATAGTACTTGCGAAAAATAACACGGCGCTGGTGAGCGCATCGAGCGATTTGACTGTAAGGGTTTGGAGACCTTTGGAGAAGGACAGTGAACCGGTGACAATTGGTCAGCATGCGGATTATGTGAAATGCCTCGCTAGTCCTGGCAATACCGCCAATTGGGTTGCTTCGGGTGGTCTAGATCGACGAATTTGTCTCTGGGATTTGAACGGAGGCGGAAAACAACTCGAAATTGAAGTCGGCGACGAGGACACTTCTGAGAAGGGATCGGTATATGCGTTAAGCACTGGAAACAATATACTGGCAGCTGGAGGACCAGAATCAATCGTGCGCTTATGGGATTCGAGAACGGGGAAGAGAATCACAAAGTTTGTGGGCCATACGGATAATGTTAGGGATATATTGATTAATGAAGCGGGCGATATGATTATGACGGCGAGTTCGGATCAGACAGTTAAAGTGTGGAGTATGACGGCTGGAAGATGTATGCATACACTCACGATGCACAATGATAGTGTTTGGTCGCTGTTTTCTGAGGATCCATCGCTTGGCGTTTTTTACAGTAGTGATCGCTCTGGATTGGTGGCCAAAACAGACATCAGAGGTACACTAGGAGAACTAGACGATGGAGTTTCATTGGCGCTGGCGCAAGAAAATGATGGTGTTACTAGAGTTATTGCTTCCGGGGAGCATATCTGGACGGCGACGTCAAGTTCCTCCATTAATCGCTGGGCAGATGTCGATACTGGATCAGATATTCAATTCCCAGAAGCCTATCAGCGTCATCGCGCTACTAGCTCTGCTTCAAAACCCAGGGCGGCTTCACCTCCTGTCACTAACGGACAACCTAAGAAAGAGATTCCTCTGAAATCCATTTTGAGGATTTCAAATACGGCAAGCTTTCCGGCGCCAGCCGTAAGAGATTCGGATTCTGTCACCAATTTCTCGGTAGTGAATGGTGGGGGGAAAGCATCCGAGCCAATTGTGGATCAGGATTTAGGAGTGATTGTTCCAATTCATACATTACCCGAAGAAACTATCGAGGGACAACATGGTCTGGTGAAGCACAAACTTTTGAATGATCGTAGGAGGGTTTTGACTTTAGATACTGCTGGAGATGTGCTATTATGGGATCTTCTCAAAGTAGGCAAATTTTTCACAAATGGCTTTAGACTGAAGACTAATCATAAAATAGTGCATGCCTATCAAATCTTTCGGAAAATGTCATCTCGAAGATGTAGAGCCGGAAGTGAATACAATGGAAGCCGTGGCGCCTTGGTGTTCATTGGACACTAGAACTGGTCGATTGGCTGTTGTTTTAGAGGAGTATAATTGTTTCGATGCGGAGATGTATGCGGATGAACTAGAACTGAAAGATGACATTGAGTTTAGAGAAGATCAAAGAAGTATGTCTATTCTTCTGGGACGGTGGAGGTTTCAAGCTAACAATTCATAGTAAACCTCGGGAAGTGGATATTACGGTATATTTTTTCTAGACTGGTTGATGAGCAAATTAAAAAGGATGAAGCCTTCCGCGCCGAGCTTAATGAAAGCGTCAAGGCAAGACGAGAAGCCAGTCCACCGACCTCCATCATCATACCCAATGCTTCTGTAACTCCTTGGGATCAGCAAGGTTCCTTGACTCCGCGAGCAAACGGCACTCATTATCCTGCCATGACCCCTGGAATGGGTATTGGTGTTGCCACTCCTGGGCTTGGCAGTCATCTACCTTCTGTGTCTGAAGATGGCGGGCCATTGGATAAACGAGGATCACAAGCAAGTCGGAGCTCAGCGGAAAAGCCAGACTATTTTGGAAGCTCAGCGATCACAAACGATCCTCCCAAACAACCAGTTGTGACAACAAGCGACAGTCAAGAGGCTAAATCTCCAGCGGTAGATACAGAAAAGGAAAACAATGGTAAGGATAGCAGCAAATCGTTTGGCATGAAGTTTCGTAAAGGAATGTCCTTCGGGACGAAGAAACTTGGTCGTTCATCTTCTACTACCATGGATAAACCAGTCGTACTAGATGACAACAAGGACAAAGCTACAGACGAAGGATCGGAGTCTTCGGAAGCAGGTGATAAACCTCCTGCCGAAAAAGAAGTCGAAGATAATTTCAATGGTACGATACAGAAGATTCGAAACGAATATGATAGATTACTCGTGGAGAATCCGGCTCAAGAAGTTGAGACTTGTATCACGCCTAGCTTACCACCTGAGACACCAGTGCTAAAGATTCCTGGTGGCACTACTGTTATCATTCAAGAAGAAACGAGTGGTGGTGTTAAGGATCTGTATAGAGGCAGTGTAGAGACGGTGGGTGTAGATGCTGATCTCATTGCCGAGAAAGCTCCAATGTGGTTGGGCGAACTACTCCTAAAGGTATGTATCTTCCTCTCCCTGTTCAAGCTCACGCTTTGTGTTCCATACTCCCAGCACCAAAATCTAATGACCAACAGAACAAAATTCCACTCAAAGATCCCGTCAAAGTCTCATTCATTCTTCAGCCCTACCAAGATCTTCTCCCCTCTATCGCAGGCCCTGACGGCAATGCGAGACTCAATGCAAATCGTATGTTGAGGGTTAAGAAGATTCTGGCTTATGTGGCGGAGAGAATCGAGCCGGCAAGCGAGCAGCCGAAACCCGAGGTCATGAAGCCGGAGGATTATTTGGATTTATATTGTTATGAACAGGTTTGTCTCTCGTCCTTTCTTCCTATACATTATCTTTTCTGTCAGACGTCATTTCTCTAGATGCTCTCAGTGAGATGAGTTTCCGATATTAGCTGTCATAGTCGACGATAGAAATAGGAAAATAAGGCTAATCTACTACTCAAACAGAAACTTCCCATAACAATGTCCCTTGCTACCCTCCGTGCACACGTCTGGAAGGGCGGTGCGGATGTATTGTTGTATTACAAGAGCAATGGAAAGAGGACTATCAGATCCGAAAAGTTTATTCAGGAAAATGGGAATGGCGAGCAGAGTTCTGGGGATGCTGGAAACGGAACTGGAATTACTGGTGCCGGAACTGGTGCCGGAAATGGTGCTGCGGCGCCGGTGACCGGAGGTGGAACTACGAGTTATGTTGGGCCATAGATGCGAGTTGAAGTTGAAAACGACAATGCAGAAGCCGCGAAGAGAGGAAATGGAGAGGAAAGAAGACTCTTGGTTATACACGTATGGCTGGCGTGCTAAGTGGTGTTCATTTAGTATAACAAAAGGTTAGGAGTAGTGTATGTATGGATTGGTGAACGAAAGAGGTTTGAAACCTCTTTGGCTGGAAGGAATATAGTAGGCTATGCTATACTTGATAGTTGGAAGCTAGATGCTCGAATTTAGGAGTAAGATTTAGGGGTGAATAACATTCTTATACTTCTTATCTATTTGAGATTGCGGAGATCGCAGAAGTTTTGATGTCGGATCTGTGATGTTGTGGGATGAGTGTGATGATATTTTTCGTGGCGTTAGGATACTTGAAAGTTGATTTTGCATGTTTGAGTGTAGGAGTTGTGATAAGAAGTCAAAAATTAGTGAGACATTTCTATATTCTTTGGCAAGTGGCGTCAAGTATGGTTAACTGCGTGTGATGCTGAAACACATTCCGGGGGGAGACAAAAGGGAATTGCTACTAATTTTCCATTAACATCAAGATGATCAGTTCAATTTTATGGCGATATATAAAATAGGATTGTTGAATGCTTGATTTCTGTATTCAATTTGTATGTAGTATTCGAAGCCATGGATGGGTGGGAGGTAAAGATGGAGGAAATCAGCAATGCTGATCTGTGCCTGGAGTTTAGCTATTCCGGTTCACAATTTGCCTGAAAGCTTATTGAAGCTGGGTATCGATTACATGTTCAAGACTACGAGAGACGGCTATTGGGAATGTGAAGAAGTGTGTACGTCTTCGAATTGGTTTGGTTTTGAGAAAGAAGTCCACCTTACAACACCAAATCTTTAGATTCTCTATCTTTGACCACATGCCCGCACCGTCTCTCCATCAGATTTGCAAGAAAAGTTTATCGTGACGTCAGTACCTATGTAGCTTTTTGCACAAACTCATCTGCCAACCTCTGTAAATAGAATCCTCGAACATCCGTAGGCAGACTTTCAAAAGACTTGACAATCTTAGCGATATCTTGTCTTCCTTTCTCATAAGCTTGGAGATCGCGATTACCATAAACATCCTTGCCTGCCGCATATCCATTTCGGAGATTGCGGAAAAAGACATTGACAGCGACGCTCATGCCAGAAGTAGGCGAGGCAGTGTGTAGCCAGAGCGAAGGGAGAAATAGTACATCGCCCGGTTGGAGTAAGACTTCATGTGGGTGCGTATGCGATAGGCTAGGATCGCTGAGGTTTTCGAAAACATTTATATCCGAGCTTGAAGCACCGGGAGCGAAGTCGAAATGTTTGACATCGGAAGGTGGGAAGAGTAAGAGGCGTTTAGAGCCCCTGACTTGGCAGAGAACATTGGCCATAACCTAAAGACGTTAAGACTTGAGTTTCATCTTTTGATTTAGCGGGGAGAAAACTTACATCATAATGTAACCACATATTCACGGGTCCGGAGATACGTAGCGGGGAGCTATGTGCGTTATCCGTAACGGACGCTAATTCTGGAGGCAGTTTAAAATCCGCGGAAATCGCAGGATAATCTTTCACGATATCGGCAGGGAGTTCTGATGCCTTTTCCGCAGATAGTGAACGTAGATAGAGCTTTTCTCCCTTTTCTACCTCGTCTAAAAAGCAGCCAAACTTCTTTGTGACATACGCGAAGTTCTTCGAGCTAAAGTTCATATTCTCTGATGATGCTTCATGCACAACAACCTATAAGAATTAAAGACAAATTATTAGGAGGACGGGTGCAAACTTACCTCTCTATCCGCACCAACTTTGGCCTTCAAATACTCAGAGGTCCATTCTTGAGTGCAAACACCGATGTCGAGGCCTTCAAGGATGACAGGCTTGCTGGCGTCAAGAATCTTGTCAAACTCTACAGATGAATCGATCTTTACCCGTGGTACTTTAACCAGAATCTGAGTTCCTGGAACCGAGCTTGAGAGACTAGTAGGAGTTGATTTAGGAGGAGCAGCAGCATCGAAAGTATGCACAAATTTCCATGGCGCACACGAAGCATCGTTCGTGGCATTTTCACCGGACTTGGAATCGCCAGAGTGTTTCGTGGTTAACGTATAGCAACCCTTGTTCCAGAATGTTCCAAATGAAAAGCATACTGCTGAACCGCCCATGATTATGATATTATCGCCATTGGAAATTGCAGAAGTACCAATGAGAAGCGGCCGCGGCTCAAAACTCATCGATACGCTTGAGCAAGAGAGCCCGGCTCTCGTCATATCTTCGATACTACTGCTACATACCTCATGTGAAAGGGGCAATAGAACATCTCTGACAATACCGCCTACAACAATGATATTGCCTTGGTGGATCAGTGCTTGTGCGCCAAAGCGAGCAAGAGTTGCCCCGTTTTCGGCCTTTGTGCTGGGACTTCCAAGAAATTTGAAAACGATGCAAGGTTGCTGCTCATGTCAGCTTTAAAGATCAAATGTAACTAAGTGTGAGGCATACCTTTCCCGTATGTTGCGATATACTCCATTCCCAAACCTCTTCTTGGACTAGTCCATCTTCAGCTATGCCACCAGCGATAACCCCAAAACTTGACCCTGGAGAATCAGATGGTAATAATTTAGGATAGATAACAAGAGAAGAACCAATGGTAGGTGATGGCCGCTCGTTTGAATCTGTACTGCATCTCACCCATCCACCCTGTCGGCTCCAGATCATGATATCATCGACCAGAGTTCTTGAAGTACTTTTGCCACCAATAACCATCACATAGCCATTGCCAAGATGGACAGCAGAATGTCGATATCTCGGCTGAGGAAGATCATCAACTCTCTCCCAAGCGTTTAACCATTTATGGTACACCCAGCAGTCCGCTATAGAATTATCTGGCGACGTTCGGCCACCAACTAATAGAGATCCACCATCGCCAATTTCAGTGATAGTGTGGCACATGCGACTTGATGGCCATGAATGAGAACCTTGGTAGTCGAATGAACTGAAACCATGTACATCTGTAGAGTACACGTCACAACTGCTAACTCGAGTATTGAGACCCATGCCGGAAAAGTTACCAATGAGATCTTGGCCCTTTTTCTCACTTTTTAGAAAGAGTGGAGCGGCAAATCTTCGTTGGCCTTGAGCTTTTGGATACTCAGAATATATACTTTCAGTGTAGCTAGTCTTGAAGCCATCCAAGTTTTGCTTAGAGCTCTCCTGGATCGCTTCACGACTCTCTCTACTCACATTATCTGCGACGAGTAATAGATAATGACAGCCAAATAAAGCAAACTCTTCCCACTCGTCGAAAGGTTCAACGCTGTCCAAAGCAATCCTTTCACTAGAATCTAGAAAATCTTCGGCTCCCCAAAGCTCCCATAGATTGCGAACTAATACAGATGGCCACCCTAAAGAACGGAAACGTCTGTCTTGCGCCGCCACAGTTGGGTATTTCTTGCAGGCGCCTAAAGGTGTACCGAGCTTGTCAAAGTGTGCCATCATTGTTTTTGCAAACGGATGACTTATTTCTTCTGGAAGTAATTGCTCTAGAAGACAGAAACGAGCTAAAAGAGGTTAACTTTACAACCCTGGAGAAGATAGGAAATGATTTTACCATCGGGAAGTTTATTTGCCCATTGTATCAGTGCATCTGCTGCCTCCGTGGGCATATATGTGATTGAAACCTCTGCTGTGAACAAGAATGAACATTTCTCTATATCCACAACTTTTGATATAGTTTCTTCAAGCCGCTTAAGATCTCGCAAGTCACATCCCAGTTGCAAGTACTGATCACTACTGAGCAATATGTCTCCATTTTGAATGATATTCAGATTAGTGAGCATGGAATTGAGCTCTGGTGCGTTTTGTACCACCGTTTGCTTCTTGATCATTAAATCTTTGTAATCGATATCGATGAACTTCACACCTTGAGAAGCAGCAGGATATCTACTCATACATTGCCATGGAAGGGGATCACTTTGGAGCATCAGCGAACAGTGTGTAAACCCGAGGTTTTAAGACCTACTATCCGCATCCCAGATTGATAACAACCTTTTGTTTTTCAGACTTCTGCTCCAGGAACTGTTTCACTACATGGTCTATGGCCTTCATACGTAGCCAATACCCACGATTTATAAGAGGGGATCGCCTAAGGGGTTTTTTGACGAAATAACGAAAGAAATGTGGTTCATTTGGAAAGTAGAGACGCTCAACACTGCGTTTGGAAACAATACTGCTGTTATTGGTCTAATTTTCATTAACATCCACAGAAGATAGAGTTTTTCCAGTGTAAAAACTTACACCCATGATTGAATCATCAGTTTTCTGGGCTTTGGTCTGCCCAGAAGATTTGGAGACTTTCGCTGGGCGACGCCCATTTTGTATTTGGCCTTCCATGATTTCAAAAGATTTCTCCCTTACCTATAATAAATCGAAAGGTCTCACAAACTGCTCAAAAGTCCTCTGGCAAAAATTTGATACTGGAACTTCAACGGCTCTGACATTTTAGTCTAGCGGCCGAATTACCGAGATTTAGGCGGCGAACCAGCTCCCATTCCTGGAGCTCTTTGGAGAGAATGGGAAACAACCCCGCGTCCCTCAATAACTTCCTTGAAGTCGTTTATCGAGGCATCAATCTTGAGATTCGAAATCAAATGTGCAGCTCATACAAAGGAACATCAATTGCTACAGCTGCGCTGTCTAGTTGATCTTGAGTGACATCCGCAGAAGAGCCATTCCTAATCCTCAACCAACACCATTGTGACTACCAGTCAACCCTGAAGCTTGCAGCGCACAGTTCTTGCATTATCCTAGAGAAACATCGTCGCGCATATAATCGCTTTGGGGCCTCCTGATTTGCAGCCATGAATTATGTTACGTTCAACCAGGATTACAGCTGCCTGGCAGTTGGTTGGTGTTCTATCTGATCCAATACCGATAATTACTAATGCCTCTCATCAGGAACTGCCAAAGGATTTCGAATATACCACACCGAGCCATTCTCGAAGATATTCACGGGGGACAATGAGAATGTAACCATAATCGAGATGCTTTTCTCGACGTCTTTGGTGGCCATCAAGCAGTCACCCAGACATATTGTGATTCAGAATACCAAGGTACGGTTTGAGATCAAGGTTATCATATGTTTTGGGAGCTCCGAGTATCACATATGCTGACCATTTTTTTCACTGCAGAGAGGTACGGTAATATGCGAACTTACATTCCCATCTGCGGTCTTGGCGGTGCGGTTGAACCGAAAACGATTTGCCGTGTTGTTGGAGGAGGAAATATACTTGTACGATATACAGAACATGGGTCTACTATACACCATTTCTACGTCAGCAAACCCCAACGCCATATGCTCTCTATCCGCTTCTTCTGACAACTGTTATTTGGCATATCCACTACCAAAGCCCAGGGAGGAGACTGGAGACAAGAGACCAGCCCATGCACCACCGCTCTCTCCATACGTTG